TCACAGGGCTATACCAAATAAATGAAACTGAAAACTGGTAAAATGAAAAATAGTAAACAAAAATAGTTTTAATATCTACAGCTGTCTGTGCGCATATGTCTGTATTTGCCCGTATGGAGGCATATTATAGAGACTATTTATGTGTATGTATCGAGTGGTCTGGGTCCAGGGTCTGGCTGCTTGCCTGTGTTAAGTATGGAGAAGAGATGGACTGATTCGGTACAGAAGAATGCAAGAGCTCATGACTGGTACCAGCGTTGTCAAAATCGGCCTCTGTGGTGGAGAAGGAGGAGGCTCGTGAAGGAGGTCACCGGGCGGTTCGAGGCAGTCGCCCTCCAACGCACAGCGGAGGAGCGACGCTCACAACAACGAGCGGAGGGCCGGGGCGATTAAAACGCAGCGAGTTTGCCCCGTGGGGAGCACAAGCGATGCATCCGCCAGTCATCTCAGCCAACCCATGGCACCTGGGTGTTTCCCGTGACATCCTGACAGCGAGACTTCGATACTTCACGTGGCCTCAAGGTGCACCCAGCCTGGCACAAACGCCACGGTGATGTCACCGCCACTTGGATGCGATCGGCGGTCGAAGTGTCGAAAGTGTTGTCACGATCCCGTAGGCGTGCACGTGTGTGTGTGTCTGTATGTCTGTCTGTATGTCTGCACGTGTGTGTGTGTCTGTATGTCTGCACGTGTGTGTGTGTCTGTATGTCTGCACGTGCGTGTCTGTCTGTATGTATGTCTGCACGTGTGTGTGTGTATGTCTGCACGTGTGTGTGTCTGTATCTCTGCACGTGTGTGTGTCTGTATGTCTGCACGTGTGCAGTGCGTGTAAGTGTGTCTGTCCGTGCGTGTGTGTAGTGCGTGTGTGTACGTGTGTCTGTCCGTACGTGTGTGTAGTACGTGTGTGTGTGTTGAAAGGACAGGGTCCCGCAGGTATACCCGTGTGTGTAAGTGTGTGTCCGTATGTGTGTGTACGTGTGTAGTGCGTGTGTGTGTCCGTACGTGTGTAGTACGTGTGTGTCTGTCTGTAAGTGTGTGTAGTGTGTGTCTGTCCGTACGTGTGAAGTACGTGTGTGTGTATATGTGTGTGTCTGTATGTGTGTGTGTCTGTCTGTATGTGTGTGTCTGTCTGTACGTGTGTCTGTCTGTATGTGTGTGTGTCTGCATGTGTGTGTCTGTATGTGTGTGTAGTGTGTGTCTGTCCGTACGTGTGAAGTACGTGTGTGTGTCTGTATGTCTGTCTGTATGTGTGTGTAGTGTGTGTCTGTATGTCTGTCTGTATGTGTGTGTAGTGTGTGTCTGTATGTGTGTGTGTCTGTATGTGTGTGTAGTGTGTGTCTGTATGTGTGTGTGTCTGTATGTGTGTGTCTGTATGTGTGTGTGTCTGTATGTGTGTGTGTCTGTGTCTGTATGTGTGTGTCTGTCTGTATGTGTGTGTGTCTGTATGTGTGTGTGTCTGTATGTGTGTGTAGTGTGTGTCTGTATGTGTGTCTGTATGTGTGTGTGTATGTGTGTGTCTGTATCTCTGCACGTGTGTGTGTCTGTATGTCTGCACGTGTGCAGTGCGTGTAAGTGTGTCTGTCCGTGCGATAGTGTAGTGTAGGGAGCGATAGTGTAGCGGTTAGCGCGCTGCACTATGAACCTGGCGACCAGGGTTCGATTCCCGCTCACGGCCAACACCAGTGACGATTATCTGAACCGGTCCCGGGCCTCCCCTAGGTCGACTCAGCCTCAAATGAGTACCTGGTGCGGTGTGTAAACATTGCCACTAGGGAGACAAAGGCGGTCGGGCGTGGTGCTGGCCACCCACCCCCTCGTGTACCGTTCCGGCCTTCATAGGTGCTCGCTAACAGCACTTGCCCCTACAGTCTGTTAAAGCTATATGGGGGATCTTTGTCTTTGTTTTGTGTATGTGTGTGTCTGTATGTGTGTATGTGTGTGTCTGTATGTGTGTGTAGTATGTGTGTCTGTGTGTGTGTATGTGTTGAATGGGCAGGGTCCCCCAGGCTTGCCCCGCGCCACGCCGCTAATGAAGCGTGCGCGCCGCCGTTGCTTTGGCTCCGGCGCTCCCATTGGCTCCGCGCCGCGCTCCATTAATTAGACGCACGCGCGCCCGTGAAAGCCACCCGCAGTGCGCACGCGACAATAGTGGTGGGGGTAGGGGGGTGGTGGGGGGATGAGTGGGGCACACCCGGGTGGTGTGGGGTGGGGGGAAGGGTGGGGACCCGAGGGGAGGAGTAGTGGGTGGCATGGGGAGAGGGAGGGAGGTGGAGGGATGGGATGGAGAAGGAGCCACAAGGGATGGAGATGGAGCCACAAGGGATGGAGATGGGCGAGAGGGGGGAGGAGGCGAGAGGGGGGAGGGGGAGATTGGAGGGAGATGGAGCCGCAAGGGAGATGAGCGAGAGGATGAGAGTTGGAGGGAGAGAGGGAGATGGAGAGAGGGAGACGGAGCCAGAGCGATCGAAATGGTGAGGATGTGGAGTGAGAGGGAGCGAAAAAGTGGGGAGGGAATTATTGATGGCATAGGCAATAGCAAACTTGTGTATGTTATCGTGGTTGTGCTGTACAGCCTTCGATGTTGGTTTAGGGTTGCACCGCGTGTTGCTCGGCACGATGTCCGAAGTTTTGAGTCCACGTGCGGGGAACTCGTTAAGATAACTGAAGCTACATCAGGGACGGAACACTTGCCCCGAGTGGATTCACGGCTGTGTCAGGGGAAGATCTTTACCTTTGTAACACACACAGCACCAAGCGATGATTTGATGCTGAGTCGACCTCGTGTAGCCCCCACAAGAGTGGACTGTCGAGAAGGATCGAGAGCACCGTGGTGCGACGTTGGCCCTCGGCTGACTTCAAATCCTGGCCGCGATTGGACGACGCCGGTGTCAAACCGGCGCTCCTCTTTGTCAACTCAGCCTAAAATTTGTGTCATCAACAGAGTTGCAACGATTCAATTGCACCAACCTGGCGATTCGATCAATTATAGTCGCACTTAATTTGAATAACGATCAACGTAGCGGCCACGAGTGGCTCTGGGTATCACACGAACCCGTGGGACTTGACGTATACAACATAGAAACAAAACATGGGTGAAATAGAACTGGATTCGATCAATGGATCGAGAGCTAATTAATCGATATTGATCGATTATTCTGTGCATCGTGACAAACCGATCAATACTGTGTTTTCGCTCCATGCAGGAGACAACCAGCGCTCTGGTTACAAATGATCAATGTGTACGCGCTACGAACTCGACCACCTGTTTTTGTTTGTTGCGATTGCACCCGATTCAAGAGCCGAACGGCTCATAGGGCTATACCAAATAAATAAACTGAGATGAACCTGAGTTCCGATCCCAGGCCACGGCCAACATCAGTGGCGCGTTTTATCTGAACGGCTTCAGAACCTCTCTCCTCCACCCCACTCCACCAACTCTCACTGACCAGAGTGGTGAAGTATAGACACGCAGTCCCCAGTCGATACAAGTTTATTATTATTATTATTGTTACAAATACGTATTATTTTAACGCGACAAGGACAACATATCGGGTTTTATTAACCTTTCGTTTGGGGTCAGGTTTTTGTGTGTTTATGTATGATAATAAATTAACCGGTTTAAGGTTAAACGTGCATGCAATTGCCGCTGCCGGCGAAGGAGTCAGCACTGGAGGAAGCTCTGAAGAGCGTCTCTCGTCTGGAGGGCACTCCGGGCTACTCTCCCACTCCGACCAGACGTCTTCATGAAGGTGTGTGGGGGGGGGGTAATGTAAACCCACAAATTTATTCCACCACTTATCGACCGTGGTGCATACCAGAGTCCCCCATAATATTTATTTACACTGGAGGAATCCGAGTAGCTATAATAGGGTAGGAGTGCAGAGTGTATGAAAGGTAAACAAATCACTTAAAAAAACGATTCATATAAAAACTACAATCTTTTTTTTCGTAACTTGCCAGGTAAACCCGACTGAGCTCTTAGCTTCTTTTTTTTCAGAAGGCGACCCGCCCACAAACGATAAGCCGCAGTCGAGATCGACGAAGATCGTGAGACGCATGCATAGGATGGATCGCAGTTTATTCCGGCAGCAGTGAGATCTAAAGTAAACAGCAGATGTCCGTTGCAGTTGTGAAAGCCACAGGTCCAGCCCTGCAATTTATTGTGAACTCCACTGCAGGCGGAAGGACCTCAGAGGGTCATTTCTGGCCGACTTTTCCACGCTGATCAACAATCTGTGGCCGTACCCATGTACTTTACCCCATCGACCTAACTGCTGCCACGGTGGCGGAATGTTAACTACCTCGCCCGGTATGCAAGAGGTTGTGGGTTCGATCACGACCCTGCTGTATATTTGGAGTTTGCATGTCTCTCTCTCTCTCATCGTGGTCGTGTGGAATTTGTCTCCGGGTCCTCCGGTTTTTCCCTCCACATTTCGGCTCAACATCGCCACGCGTTCAGAGTCGTTTGTCCGCTATGCGATTCCACGTGACGGTTGTGGCCAGGTCGCTTCTGAAAAAAGAGCCGTATCGCTCAATGGGTCTTACCTGGTAAAATCACTAAAAACAATACTTTTTTAATGATAGTTTATATACTGTGTGTGCCTATACAGCAATGTATTGATGCCCGCGTGTGTGTGCGCACGCGCGCGTGTGTGTTGTCGCGTGCACGCGCGCGTCTGCCCCTAAGACCGTGTCTGCGCACGTGCGCACTCATAGGCAGCCCGCGGGGCGGTGAGTGTGGATGGAAGGAGGGGTGGATGGTGTGTGTGGTGGCGGGGGTGGGGGTGGTGGTGGTTGGTGGTGGCAGTGGTGGTGCAACTTTGGTGCCAAAACACCGGGCATTCACAGATTAAAGGCTGGACACGAGGCGGACAAGAGCGGCCGAGGGCGGGAGGGATGGAGGGCGCGTGGATGGCGGTCACATGGGTGCAGGGATTTGTGCGCGCGCGTGCGTGCGCGCGTGTGTGTGAGGGTAGAGATGGTTGGAGATGGGAGGGGGTGGGTGGGTGCTGCTAGTGGTGGGGCAGGGATAGATGATATTCTTTACAGAGTTTTTTTCCACCCCCCCTTCTTTTTCTACTTCTTCGATTCTGCTCCCTCCTCCATTCACCCTCCTCCTCCTCTCTAAACGTGCTTGGGGGGTGGGGTCGTAGTGGTGGGGTCGTAGTGGTGGTGGTGCTAGTTATTTATTTATTATGTACCCTCCTCGAGGGGCTCTCCCCCCCCACTATCCTCCCGCCTTTGTTGCCCATTGTGTGCCCGGTGAGGCGCTTATATACCGTGGGGCGTGCGGCAGTCGCGTGCACCACTGCGCGAAGAGAGACGGAAGAGCTGGCGACGCGCGCGACCCTCGCACTCCCAGTCTCGTGCCCCCGGCTTCATCCCGAGCACGCGCCGCGCACGTGACGCCCTCGACTCACGCGACGCGCACGCCACGAGCCCAGCACGCCGGCCAAGCAGCAGCAAGCAGCAGCAGCAAGCAGATATCGGCCCCAGCTTAGCAGCAGCGAGGTGGGCATGCAAGCAGAGCAAAGCCCTTGCACACTCACACACACTGCATCAGCTAGCGTACCTCGCTGCATGGCATACACCCATACACACAGTGCACAAGCTAACTTCCTGGTTGTATGTCATACGCACACTGCATACGCTAACTTACTGGCTGTGTGTATGCATGTCATACACACTGCAAAAGGTGACCTTACTGGCCCGTATGTCATACACACTGCATAAGTTAACTTACTGACTGCAATACATACAAACACACTGCAACAGATACTGACTACCGACATTGTGTTATTTGCAACTGACTGCATGCCATACCTGATTGAAATGTAATACGATGGGGTATCTCTGTCCTCTGTACGTGTCCCTGTGTGCCTTTGCAGCAATGTCCATGAGCACACACTGTTAATGCAATGTCACTGCGTAAGCCACTGCGAGTAACATGTGCATTCGTGTCTAGATCGGTGGGCAGACAGCATCACAAAACACACTGCATACACCTACTAACTTAGTGACATGCATGAATTAATCCGTGTATATTTATTCTACGCCTGTCTGTAATGTGTCTTTGCATCAGTGTACGTGAGCAAGCTATTTTTACGGTTGTTATGTCACGATGTCACATACTTTACGATGGCTAGGTTGTAAATGCAGGACACAAGGCTAGCAATACATGAACATTCTGTCACCATGACTATAATGTCAATAGTATATGACATTGGTGTGCATGCATGCGTATACTATTACAGCCTCATGGCCTACCAGCCTCCCAGACCCATGCCTACCAACAGCAGCTATTTAAACAGTAATATAAATACATACTCACTCTTGACCTATAATCACTTGACTATCCAAACATGGCCATGCTGTAACTGCAGTGTGTGTGTGAATGCCTGACTTTACAATCACTAGGACTATGCTGTCACTTCGTAACTTAGTGATACCACTCTTAATATAAATGTATAACTGTACGAATCCATACCACTAGAACAATATAACTCTACGATTCTGCTATCACGACAAATAAATACCAAAGCCACTACATATATTATCAGCTTATGAAATCAGAATATACCATCACAATACTGGCACTTTATCACGATGCATTTCGTTTTTGTCTACACACATTTAAAAAAATGTATAACTTAAGCTTGGGGTATAACTGGTATATATATTTTATATTTTATCAGAAGTTGTTTTGCTCCATCTCTTGAAACAAGTGTTGCTCTTTGAGGCCGTTCTTCTAGGAGTGGCGTGAGCACGGAAATTGCAGGGCTGAACCTTTACCTTGCCAATTAAAAGTAGCAATACTTAGCACGGTTGGCTATGTACGGTGTGAAAGAAGTTCAACATACACGCATGCATATTTATCCAAACAATGCTAATACGAGGTGTGAATGATTGACTTTCTGGTTCAGAAGCATGACACATCATGCATTTTAAAATAATTCCCTCCCCCCCCCACAAAAAGTCACTTGCATCCACGAAACATTTGGTCTAACATAGCAAATCCTCGATGGTTACCGTAAATAAATGTTTTATTGTTCGTTTTCCAACAGAATGATGTCTCCATTTCCTGGCGACGGACCCACCCATCCGGAGAGCAGCAGCAGCAGCAGCAGCGGCGGCGGCGGCACCAGCAGCGGCATCGCCATTCCATCGCCGATGGAAGAAGACACCCCGGCACTGTCTCCTCGCTTTCCTTGCAGCTCCTCCTCCCCATCATCATCATCGCCGACATTATCGTCATCCGCATCACCGTCGTCGTCGCCGTCATCGTCATCATCCTGCGAAGAAGAGAAACCTCAGATGCCCGAGCAGCAGCAGCAGCAGCAGCGACGGCGGAAGGCGAGATCCCGGGGCTCCGGCCGCACCGGCGGCGGCGGCGGCGGCGAGCCGCTGGTGCGCGTCAAGCAGAACAGGCGGATGAAAGCGAACGACCGCGAACGCAACCGCATGCACAACCTCAACGACGCGCTCGACGCTCTGCGCGGGGTGCTGCCCACCCTGCCGGACGACGCTCGGCTCACCAAGATAGAGACGCTGCGCTTCGCCTACAACTACATCTGGGTGCTCACCGAGACGCTGCAGATCGCCGACCAGAGCCTGCTGAGCAGCGCCGGCGTGTGCCGCCCGTCGCAGCAGCAGATCGTGCGAGCCGCCTGGGCAGCCAGCGGCGGGGACAGCTTGTCTCCCGCATCCTCGTCCTCCTCGTCGTCGCTGTCATCCATCGCTTCCTCGAGCTCCCCCGCGTCGAGACCCTGCAGTTCCCCAGACTCTGACTTCGAGTCGCTGTGCAGTCCGCTGCCGGCGGACGTCAAGTGCGAGAATCTGCTGCTGAGGTCGTCCTTCCCCAACGGGACGGAGTTTCTGCACAACGCTTCGTTTGTCGACTTCATCTGACCGCGCGGACTTCTTGCGTCGCATCGTTTAGTTTCAAAATTCGTTTTTGCCGTTGTTGTTTGGTAAAGGTGATCCCCCGAGTGGTAGGTGAGCATCCATAATAGAGGGGTTTTTTTTGTTGGGTTAGATCGCGTAAATGTATAAATGTGTCGTTAAACCCACCACCACCCGACACAGCCAACTAGTAAGGGTTGTCACGTAAACAGATCGTGGCCAATTCGTTACCAGTACAGCACACCCGGTGTGTTGGAGAGCAAAGCCACAACATTTACAATCTTGAGTACGACGTTTCGCCAGTAATTACAACTAGCTTGTGTTTTTTTATAAAATTACGCGATTTAACCCCCCCCCCAAAAAACCGTGTATTATGAATGATATTGGTCGCGAAAAGCCTACGGACGTGTTAAACTATGTCAGCATCGTTTGAACGGCGCCTTTAACGTCCGCGCTCCTGTTTGGTTCAATGAATCGATGACCTCCCCTGCCAAAAGTGGTGGTGGCATCGACGGCTTGGCGGATTGGCACTTGGATTTGCTGTGGTGGCCACTCTTGGGCGACGAGATGTGAGACGGAGAGCACGTGTCCTCAATTGTGATGCGTTAGACGGCATGGCATTCCACATCACAGCATTAGACGACTTAGCCCCGTGATGTTAATATTTTGATTGTAATTGTTATTGTTTTTTATAAAACACAATATATAAATATATATTTTTATTTTATTGTATTTTTAGAACGTGGTCTTCGGCTGGCAAGCAGCGAACAACTCGCCTTAATAATAATAATTTATCAAATGCGTGACTTAACTTATGTAAAACCATCTCAGGTTGTTATTTTTTTTAAATGCGTACCTTTGCAACGAAACATGTTTCCATTGTCAAAGAACTTGTCGGCATATTTCGGGAAATATGTCAAATGTGGGGAGGGGGGGTCTCTTTTTTACATAAAAACACTGAAATATCCTCGCTCCGAGTGTGTCTGTGTCTTTAAGAACGAGGAGTGTATCACTTGATGCAAGTGATGTTTAAAAAAAATCATTCTTATTTGCTGCTGCTGCATTGGCACACAAGCACAACTAACAACAACAACAGTGACAATTCAACACCTTTGTCGATAACAACACTGTGGCCTTAAAAGGAAAAATATATACACATAATAGGGGACATTTCGGCCATTGAGCCCTTATTCACAGTGCATCAGTTTGATATTTGATTTGCTTGACCACTTGTTGGGTTTTTTATATCCCCGAGCAAAGAGTGAAAGAGATGTCACGTGACTCAATAACAAAAAAAGTTCTGAAAATTGTTTTTTTGTTAATGAAAACAACAAAATAAAAAACGCTGCTGTCAGCGATGCAAACCACTGAACGCTATTTTGTGTTGGTCAAAAACATAAAACCACCCAAAGAGCCCACTGCAGCTACATTCAAACTTATTTTCAACTCAGCTGCACACTCTCAATAATACACATGCTATGTTCTTTTAAACACTCTCCAACAATCATTGTATTCACAACCTGACGATGGCATACGGAACATTGTCCGTCCACCCTTTCCCGCCTCTCACTCCCCCCCCCTCGTCCAGCATATCACGACTCCCGGGGACGTTTGAGATGGAATCGCTCCCACCGGCTACGTTTTTTTTTCGATATGCAAATGTCGAGGAGTTGTGGCCTTTTGAGTCTGGGGGAGCTGGCTGGTGGAGGCTCATTGAGACCGCATTCCGTTGCTTTGTCATTGGCCTTCCCTTTTGGTTCATGATCCCACTTGAGTCAGCCCTTAAGTCCACTATTAGAAATCTAGGGTGGTGGGTTTTGTTGACGTCTGTGTGCGCGCGCGCGCGTGGGAATGTGCGTGGTGGCGCAGCGGGTGAGCCCTCTGTCTTAATTTCGCATCGAGTCCCACAGTACCAGAAGCACCACCGCCACCACCGTACTTTTAGATCCTTATCCCTATTACACCCCTTTGTCCTTCCCTCGTACCTCCGATTAGGACGCTTGGCTGAGTACGGTGAGAAAGAAGTTCAACGTACCGAGCAGCGATGCGGCCACTTCAATGTGAAGCACTCTTCTCGGCCACTTCAATGTGAAACACTCTTCTCGGCCACTTCAATGTGAAACACTCTTCTCGGCCACTTCAATGTGAAACACTCTTCTCGGCCACTTCAATGTGAAACACTCTTCTCTGCCACTTCAATGTGAAACACTCTTCTCGGCCATTTCAATGCGAAACACTCTTCTCGGCCACTTCAATGTGAAACACTCTTCTCGGCCACTTCAATGTGAAACACTCTTCTCGGCCACTTCAATGCGAAACACTCTTCTCGGCCACTTCAATGCGAAACACTCTTCTCGGCCACTTCAATGTGAAACACTCTTCTCGGCCACTTCAATGTGAAACACTCTTCTCGGCCACTTCAATGTGAAACTCTCTTCTCGGCCACTTCAATGTGAAACACTCTTCTCGGCCACTTCAATGTGAAACACTCTTCTCCGTCACTCGGCCCTTCCCTCGGCCGCTCTCGGTCTCCTCTCTCTCTGGTGTCGTCTTCCAGAGAGAGACACGGCGCGTGTGTGTGCGCGTGCGTGCGTGCTCGCGGTACATTGAGTGTGTGTCAAATATGGGGAGCGGTAGCGTAGTGGTGGATACGAAGCCGGCGACCCGAGTTCGATTATCCAGCCACGGCTAACATCAGTTGACGATTGTCTGGATCAGTCCTTGGGCCTCCCATAGATCGACTCAGCCTTAAAACGAGTAGAGTACCTGGTGTGGTGTGTTAACATCACCACTGGAGAGACAAAGGCAGCCGGGCGTGTTGGTTCTAGCCGAACCGACCCCCTCGTTCCAGCCGTCAAAGATGTTCAGGAACAGCACTTGCCCCAACAGTTCGTGTAGGCTATACAGGGGTCTTTGCGTGACTTTACCGAAAGAACCAAGAATATGTGTGAATGTGTATGTATTTGTGTCTGTGTGTGTTGCATGTGTGTGAATGCATCTGAGTGTGTATTTGAAAGTGCGAATGTGCCTGTGCGCGTGTGTGAATGAAAGTGTGTGTATGTTGGACTTGATTCGCACCGTACGTAGCCACCAACCGTGCTCATCGGAGGTGTAGCATACGTGTGAACGCGTGTCTGCATCTGCGTGTGTATTGCAGGTGCGCGTGTGTGTGTCTGTGTGGTACGGGGTGGGGAGCGGTAGTGGAGTGGTTAGCGCTACGCTGGTAGACTCAGTCGCGAATGAGTACCTGGTGCGCTGTGTAAACATCGCCACCGGGGAGACAAAGGTGGCCGGGCGTTTTCCTTGCCTTCTACCCCCCCTCGTGTGCCGTGCCGGTCTTCATGGGTGCTCGCTAACAGCACTTGCATCCCAACAGTCTGTTGAGGCTATACGGGGGATCTTTGTCTTTGCCGTGCGTGTGCGCGCGTGTGTGTGTGTGTACGCGTTGAATAGCATCAATAGACACACAAAGAACAATCCCTCGCTTGTGCTGCGCGCGTGTGTGTGTAGCTCAAGTTTGCTCTTTGGGGGCTCCTGGACAAAATCAATGTTAAAAGCGTTTTTAAGGCGCGCCGCCCACAGAGAAGATGCGCGGGGAGCCTTTGTGCGGTGGCTGGGCGTGCAAAATCAGAACGAGATTCACATTTTCTGCAGGAGACGGGGCGCTCTGAATGGGTTACACACACGCGCGTGTTGTCCGCTACATTAGAAAATATGCAGAAGGTTTACCCCCTTTGCCCGATTATGCATGCTTAGCCCCGTTCGCCTTTGTTCCCCTTATGCAGCCGCCGCATGCGGTACACTTCTCTCTCTATTTATTCGAACAAAAAAAACGAGAAGATAATGTTGTTACGACGAGAACACGCGTGTGTCTGCGTGTGTGTGTGTGGGGAGCGGTGGCGCAATGGTTAGCGCACCACGCTGCGAAACCGGCGACCCGAGTTCGACTCCCGCTCACGACCAATAACAGGTGGATATTTGAACCGGCCATGGGCATCCCCTAGGTCGACTCAGCCTCAAATGGGTACCTGGTGCGATGTGTAAACGTCTGGCCACCCGATCCCTCGTGTGCCGTGCCAGCTTTCATAGGTGCTTGTTAACAGCACTGGCCCAAGCATTATGTGAAGGCTATAGGGGGATCTCTATCTTTGTGTTTTTAACGTACTCTTAGCACGTGTATTTGTACACGCGGAGGTGGTATATAAGCGAGACAGACACAGACGTGGCTTGCTAATTGTTGGAGTGCTATATATGTGCATATTTTGTTCTAAAAAAGCACATGTAAACGAAAGCCCTTCCACGCGTGTATTTATTTTGTTAATAAAGCATTTCATACTGGGTACGTTGTGTGAGGATTGTGTTCAGTAGGCACACACCCACACACATATGAAAGGGGATAATGAACTACAACAGCAAAAACCGCAGTTGACGTCATCGCGGCGCCTGTGCCAGGTTGGGTGCACTTTGAGTCCACGCGAAGTTGTCGCTGCTCCTTTACAGGAGGTTACGGGACAGACCCAGGTGCCATGGCTGAGATGACTGGCGAATGTACATTCGCCTGTGCCCCCTACTCGCTGTGTTTTAAACCGCCCGGCGCTCCGCTCGTTGTTGTGAGCGTCGCTCCTCTGCCCTCCGCTGTTGTTGGAGGGCGACTGCCTCCAAACTGCCCAGCAGCAGCAGCGTCCTTCACGAGCCTCCTCCTCCTCCAGAGGCCGATATTGACACCGCAAGTCCACTCAGCTCCACATCCTCCCGTACCCGCATCAGTCCATCTCTTCTCCAGCCCGTGCCGCGCCCGTTTAGCCCCCTCTATCCGACCAAGCTAAAATGATGAAGGCAATCAAACTTATGAGATAATGGTTGTACATGCACAAATCATGTTGAGGAATTTGTGGTTTTGCATGTTTCCACAGTGAAATGGGTGAGCCATGTGGATTGCACTGAAATTCCTTGCACAACCATAGATTTGACTTGTATACATTTTAATACTAAAAACATATCCTGCGTATAATTATATACAGTACAAACAATACGTACATAATACACACAATACTAATTTACAGCCCTTTGTTAATCCACTCATGGATTAAAGCATTACCACGCCGTTATTTTGTTTTACCATGCTGATCAAACCAGGAACTTCCATGAACATTAATAATTTCCAAATGCTTTGGGTTTAGTGCTGTTAGCGAACACCTATGAAGACCAGAACAGCACGCGAGGAGATGGGTGGCCGACACCACGCCCGGCCGCCTTTGTCTCCCCAGTGGCGATGTTTACACATCGCACCAGATACTCATTTGAGGCTGAGCCGACTTAGGGGAGACCCAGGACCGGTTCAGATAATCGTCACTGGCATTGGCCGTGAGCGAGAATCGAACTCGGCTGGCCAGGTTTGTAGCGCAGCGCGATAACCCGTACGCTTCTGGGACACACACACACGCACCTTCAATACACACAGAGATGCAGACACGCGTTCACACGGATGCATACACCTCCGATTAGCACGGTTTGCTATGTACGGTGCGATAGAAGTTCAACATACATACAACACACCCACAAAGGGCACACACACTTTAATCCACGCGTAGTCAACATTCGGCGCGCTAACCGCACCACCACCGCTTCCCCACCGCGCGTTCGTTTTAACGCAGGTGGCTAAGCGTCGCGCGGTCAGCGACAAACAGCATCATCATCGAAGCAGTCATTTAATTTGAATCGAGCAAAGGTGATTTCTTGTGAAAATCCGGGTAAAAAAAATTGAGACGAGGTGAGTGATTTTTTTTAAAGTGGAGTGGCGCGAGGGAGGAAGTGGGAAAGTGTCGGGACCTGCGGAGTTGATGAGTGAGTAAGTTGTTGAGACCTAGTGTGGTGAGTGAGTTGTTGAGTGAGTGTGTTGTTGTGACCTGCGGTGTGATGAGTGAGTAAGTTGTTGAGACCTAGTGTGGTGAGTGAGTTGTTGAGTGAGTGTGTTGTTGTGACCTGCGGTGTGATGAGTGAGTAAGTTGTTGAGACCTGCAGTGTGGTGAGTGAGTTGTTGAGTGAGTGTGTTGTTGTGACCTGCGGTGTGATGAGTGAGTGAGTAAGTTGTTGAGACCTGCAGTGTGGTGAGTGAGTTGTTGAGTGAGTGTGTCGCTGTGACCTGCAGTGTGATGAGTGAGTAAGTTGTTGAGACCTGCAGTGTGGTGAGTGAGTTGTTGAGTGAGTGTGTCGTTGTGACCTGCGGTGTGATGAGTGAGTAAGTTGTTGAGACCTGCAGTGTGGTGAGTGAGTTGTTGAGTGAGTGTGTCGTTGTGACCTGCGGTGTGATGAGTGAGTGAGTAAGTTGTTGAGACCTGCAGTGTGGTGAGTGAGTTGTTGAGTGAGTGTGTCGCTATGACCTGCAGTGTGGCGAGTGGATGAGTGAGTGAGTTGTTGAGACCTGCAGCGTGGTGAGTGAGTATTTGAGCGAGTGTGTCGCTGTGACCTGCAGTGTGGTGAGTGGATGAGTGAGTTGTTGAGACCTAGTGTGGTGAGTGAGTTGTTGAGCGAGTGTGTCGCTGTGACCTGCAGTGTGACGAGTGGATGAGTGAGTGAGTTGTTGAGACCTGCAGCGTGGTGAGTGAGTATTTGAGCGAGTGTGTCGCTGTGACCTGCAGTGTGGTGAGTGGATGAGTGGATGAGTGAGTTGTTGAGACCTAGTGTGGTGAGTGAGTTGTTGAGCGAGTGTGTCGCTATGACCTGCGGTGTCGCGAGTGGATGAGTGAGTGAGTTGTTGAGACCTGCAGCGTGGTGAGTGAGTATTTGAGCGAGTGTGTCGCTATGACCTGCGATGTGGCGAGTGGATGAGTGAGTGGCCGAGTGAGCGGGTTAATGCGTGAGCGAGTGCGTTGTTGGGAAGTGCGGTGTGCACGACGAGACGAGCAACATCGAGGGTGGCTGTTGCCACAAGTAAACCGTGCGTGTGTGTGTGTGCACCTTTTACGCACGTGCCCCCCCCCCCATCCCCACTTAGCCAGCTCCGCGTTCCTCGCCTCCTCGGCTCGGCTGAGCCCGGCACGCACGGGCGTGCGAACCCGCGTGCTCGCGGCCTCCTGATTGACACCTCGCTCGCCCCTCGCATTTTTGGGAGCTGTGAAGGCGTCTCCATAGCGTGCCCGCGACCCACCCAACGAGGCCGCGGACACAACCAGCAATTAACATTCAGGCCGTGCGGAGGGCATTGATCACTCGGGGGGTGGGGGGGGGGGCTCGGACAAGCGGGGGTGGGTGGGGAGGAGTGGATAGGAGGCTCACGCAGCTCCTTCCTTGTTTTTTGTCCACCCTTCCTAAAGTCACTCTCGGTGCCAGCGCATTAGATCGCCCTCCCTGCGGTTTGCTCTTCCACCAAGGCTCCAACGGTCCAGCCTACAAATCGCATCACGCAAAGCAGCACGCCATGGCAACAGCAGCAGATGCGGATAATCTGATTGCACAAATGTAAACTAACAGAAAACAAGTTTCCAGTGGTAGTCGTGATGGTGGTGCGACTGTGGGTCATCCAGAAGAGACCCAAACAACAACAACAATATAACGACCACGACGCAATGCCCCGATTCATAAACATACGGAGACACATCATAAGAGCGACGATACACTCCCGACGCTGTTGGCCTGGCTTGGCCACCTCAATGTGAATTTGTCGTGGTTGTTCTGCCGTTTACATCATCGGCCGTACGAAAGAAGAAGAAGACTCCCCGAGATGAGACACCCCACCTTCCTTGGGCGTTTTGTCCAGAGGGGAAAAAAGATTTGCACCGCAATGCGACGTAGCTATGATCGTTTGGAGATGGGTTATGGTTTTAGGAATCGTGTCGCTGCGTCTGTGTAGGGAGCGGTCGTGAAGCAGCGCGCTGCGCTACGAACCCGGCCGACCCGGGTTCGATTCCTGCTCACGGCCACCACCAAGTGACGATTATCTGGACCGATCATGGGCCTCCCCTAGGTCGACTCAGCCTCAAATGAGTAGCTGGTGCGGTGTGTAGTAAACATCGCCGCTGGGGAGACGGAAGAGGCGTGATGCCACCCGCCCCATCATGCAGCGTGGTGGCCTTCTTACCCAAAAGCCTGTTCAGACTCCATGGGGGATCTTTGTCTTGTTTTGTTCATAACTATATTGACCATACTTCACCCACGCTGGGTCTGAGTTAACACCTGAGCCTGTATTTTGGTGGGGTTACGGATTGGTTATGAAGGTGACTTCATAACCAATCCGTAACCTCAAAGAAAATGGGACCACTATGACACAACTTGGAATTAAAAGTGGAAACTTTTATTGAAAATCATCATCATAACAAAACAATAATCACATGCAGACTCTTAGAAATCCACTGCTGGGATGAAGGCCCCCCCCCCACACAATGTTGGTCACGTGGCTTGTTCGACCATACTTCACCACGCCAGTCAAACAGAGCGCAAAAATAAAAACCCGTGAACATAAACCGAAATAACACGCCGCATTGCAACGAGCCGCCGAGGCAAAAACTACGACCCCCCCTCCGTTAAGAAATACGAACCGGACTTGCAAATAATGCCCGCAGCAAGCATCGTGCATCGTGAGTGTTTGACGCCAAGGAATGGCCCAAGACGAAACGTCGACTTGTAAACGAAACCGATGCCCACAGTGAAAGGCACCAATCCCATGCCCCCCCCCCACACCCCCGCGATGACTTGTTTCTGAAGCCCAAACCTTTAAGTCTTGATGACCAGCCCACCACAGAATTGCTTCTCGTAACAACGCCCCCCCCCCCACCCGTAACGATTCCCAACAACATTTAGTGTCAACTGGCACGTGCATTCGTCCACATCCTCGCCTGCACTGCTGCTTCGTCATGCCCCCCCCCCCCCACAGCTTCACCCTGCACAATATGGAATAAAAAAACGACCTGCACGTCACAGACGAGCTTTCGTGACTGCAAGGATTCATCTTCTTTGGTTCTTTCGGTAAAGTCAGGTAGAATGAGAATAAAATAATAAATTGATAAAATAAAATAACAATAATATTCTCACATTTCGGCCACAACACAAGCGGCCTTTATCAGGTGAATCGCTGTCCTCCAGACAGTCTCGTCCTTTCACCTGATGAAGGCCGCTTGTGTTGTGGCCGAAACGTCGTGAGAATATTATTGTGTTATTTTATTTTATCAATTTATTATTTTATTCTCATTCTACGTGACTTTACCGAAAGAACCAAAGAAGAACATTTAAGTCGTTTGAACTTTTTTGTTTTGCTTAGTATTAGGGTTTTTATTTGCTTGATATGTACGTGTGTGTGTGTGTGGGGAGCAGTGGTGTAGCGGTTAGCGCGCTGCACTACGAACCTGGCGACCCGGGTTTGATTCCTGCTCACGGCCAACACCAGTGACGAGGCGGATTCAGCCTCAAATGAGTACCTGGTGCGGTGTGTAAACATCGCCACTAGGGAGACAAAGGCGGTCCGGCGTGGTGCTGGCCACCCACCCCATCGTCTACCGGTCCGTCCTTCATAGGTGCTCGTTAACAGCACTTGCCCCAAAAGTCTGTTAAAGGCTATACGGGGGATCTTTGTCTTTTTTGTGTTGGGCTTCTTTCGCGCCGTACAAAGTCTACGACGTACATGGGATTTGGCCCTTAAAAATAATTAACGTCCAGCGTTTTGGGATGCTGTTGGCATGGATGACGCTATGTAAAATGAAAGCATTATAATGAATATTGCCCCTTAGTCCAAGGTACTCGCACACACTCATCTCATGGAACACGTTACCCCGTCTGTGCAGTCCAATACGTCACATATCCGACCCGCGGGGAACTGAGTTATGGGTTATGAGGTTGCACAAACAAATGAACCATGACACCTTGCTGATCTCGTCAAGGAGCAGAAACCATCATCGTGCGAACTCCGGCGGTCATCCTTGGCTCGCCATCGAACAAAGATGGTCACTGGCATCGCGCGCTTTCAGGTGCGCTTCTGCGGCCGTCTGGAACGCTCTTCTGATATTCGGAAGCCACCGGAGCTATGCACTTTTAAATATAGATCGAAAACTAATTTCTTCGGAAACTGCTTTTTCGTGTTTGTTATCTTTCCCCCAAACCTACCGATTAGCACGTTTGGCTACGTACGGTGCGAATGGAGTTAAACATGCATACATGCAGACGAGCATGTGAAATAAGTCGGACATGTCAACATCTTTACGAAATGACAGTTACACGCCACGTGTAACCAGGTGACTGGACGAAGTGCAAACCGCTCCAAACGTGGGAAGATGCTTCACTGTGCATTGGAGCCGAGTGGATATACGCGTGGTTGAGGATGCCACGTTAACCGCGTGTGACACGGCCGGATATATGAAGATCTAGAGAAAATGACGGGTACACCAAAGTGCACAGATACTGCACTGGGCGCGGGAGGTGAATTGGTTCACGGCGGATACGCGATGTTATATTTTACGTAGCTGGCTTACGTAAACTGGTCTAAAGTAAACCCTGCAGCCACTATGGTCCCTGCATTCACCGCCAGAGCAGAGACAAAAAAGAAAGAAAACCCAGATCGACGCTTGAATAAAATCTCCACGAAGATTCGCGAAAATTTGTGACACATCGTTGCAATATGTCCGGTAAATTTCGTTCACGAGTTCATGGTGTATTGCCCTGGCGGGGGTCTCTTTAAGTCCAGGTCGTGACAGATGTGGTTGCACTCTGCGTGCTGCTTGTCCCAGAATTTGTGGAACCCTCTCTGGCCATAGTCCACCGAATCATTCAGATCTTTGAACCAAGAGTGGACGAGAGGATCGGTCAGATACATGAGACCCGTGCCATCCATCGTGGTCCAGCCTGCAACACACACGCACACACAATATTAAGCACTAAACTATTCAACATTTTTTTTTATGTTAACCGGGGAAGGCCCACTGAGCTGTACAGCTTTTTTTCAAAAGCGACCTGGCCACAAATGGTAGCTCAACGAAGTGGCTTATCAAGTGAAAATGTTTCACGGCCAAATACTCTAAAAATATGTTTCTAAACGTGGAGGGAAACACGAAACAAAAAAACTGGGCTTTACCCCTATTTACCTGCCGTCAAAAAAAATGAGGTGTTAGGATGTTCAAACGCTGAGTAGACACCGATTACAAGGCATCACCCCCTTGCTCAGCCACGCACGCTTGTTGCGAACGAACGCAAACAGAACATCGCTTTGACGATGTGAGCACCGTGCTTGAAGCCGATTGGTCTGCGCCAGAGAGAGGGCCTCCTTCTCACGAGCGCTTGACCAAGGCCGCCAAGAGGCAAGCAGGTGGACGTGTTACATTCCGTGGGCATGAGGAACATTTGATACCACTGAAGGTGGCAAATATTTAATGTTGTGGTGCCAGCTACCGTGGCGTGGAAGATGGCAGCCTTCATGCGGCCCACTCTGTTAAGCGAGGCATCACGACGATCGCCATCAACGCGGCGACCGGACGTCGACAATTGATCTCTTGCGTCTCGGGGCAACAACACCAGTTACCGTATGTGGCTAATAGAAGTGAAGTATATGCTAGCATAATAATTATTATAATTAGTTATTGTTTCGCTTGTTTACCCACAAAGGCCTCGCTGAGTCTCAAGACTCCTTCTCTGGAGCTTCCTCCACGGTTTTTGCCGGAGGAGGCGAGGTTGTTTCTTGCGCTCCCGATTCGATTTGCGGATAATTTTTCACCACTTTGGGATGTTTAGCCACGACCAATTACATGGTAAAAAATATATATTTCGCGAATGATTATGTTTTTTCTTTACGGGAGTAAACTGGAAAACCAGGATAAAATGCGTTTTAAACGGGGGCGGGGGGGGGGTGATCGTGTACGTGTAGTCTCTACACAGAGAGGCACCCAGATCGAGCGTCGACCATCTACCGGAGATCTTGTGAAAAAGATTTCCATAAGCTCATCGGATTCCCGCAGTATCAATCAATATTCTGATTCTGATCGAACCCAGAGGCCCTTCTTGCTGCGAGGCGCAAAAGTTCCCACTTCGCCAGCGCGACGCCTGATAACGTGACTACGAAATTTACTTTTATTGCAGATATCAATACGAGTGTATAGCTCAAGTCTTTCCACCTCAGATGGTACCACCAAGTAACATTTTATGTCTGGGCCCATCTGCTATTGAACCGATGCTATCAGTTTATATTTAAATTATGGGAAAGCCATCAGAGGCAAAGGTGCTTACTGGATGGAAACACGAGTAGTAACAATAACACACGCAACTAAGCTGATTCCTAGATGGCAGAAGGCTCCATTGCGACCATTGTATTGTTTTTTCTATCATGCCTCAGAGTTAATGTGACATCACCACACAATGACAAAGATCCCCTGTTTAGCCTCAACAGACTGTTGGGGCAAGTACTGTTAGCAGTGAGCATGCAGTGCAGGACCTCACCACGTCGCATGTCATAACCCACACAGGCCTCAAATTAGACCACAAACTGAAGAAAGTCAAATTTGCGTCCATATAATATCTCTAAAATAGCTTGGCCATCAGCATCCGAATCGGCAGTCATGATCAATCCACTGCTGGATGAAGCTCTCCCCAAACTGCCGCCCACCTCTCACGATCCTGCAATGCAGTAGTCCGCCTAGCACCTGCACATGAAACTGATTTCAGCGTTCCATCTCCTCAGTGGACGTACACCACGGAATGCGTTCAATTCCAATTCCTTTTCTGAAATGCTCTTCCTTCTGATATTGGGTAGCCACTGGAGCTGTGCACAAATGAACAAGTGTTTACACGCGGGAGGAAACTGGAACACCCTTAGAGAAGCCACGCGCGAGAGGGGGAAACACTCTACCCCATACAGACGGAACAGGTCGAATCCATGTCTCTTCTGCGCCGCCTTCTCCTGCCGAGTCAGGGAATGAGGCTCCTCGACACCCACGGGAAAGGAGTCTCACAACATCTGTGCGATCCGCCAACCCTCCCCTCCGCAGCGTTGGATTACAGGCGGCGTGCATAGCCACCAATGTCACCTGGCAAAATTTAGATGATGATGACGGTAAAAAAATAAATCGTAGGCGGGCTTTGATGAGAGTTCGCTCCGCTTACCCTGCAGGTCAACGATGATCTCCGATCCCTTGGACAGGTCGTAGGTGAAGTGGCTGAAGGCGATGGCGTACGGTGCCGCGGGGACGTTTCTCTTGTACACCTCAGAGTTGTTTGTTATTTTGGCGAAAGATCCTTCCATGTAGGGTTCCGCGTTCATGCAGGCTCGCACGCGTCCGCCGTCATCCAACATCTGCCGGGGATTCGGCGAGAGGCAGGGGAGGGACGCGGAGGGAGCAAAGCCGTTAAGTTTTGACAACGCTTTGTTGCGGTGATTGGGAAAATCGGACTGGGTTTTTCGCAGAATAATTTTGATAGCAGCAGCAGCAGAAGCAGCAGCAGCTAGCAGCAGTTTCAGCATATTCTTTGGTTCTTTCGGTAAAGTCACGTAGATAGAAAATAATGAAATAAAAAGAAATAAAATCCGTGACTTTACCGAAAGAACCAAAGAATATGAATTCCTGCAGTCACGGACGTTTGAAGTCAAAGTTTCAGCATAATTGGAAATTGCAGATGTATCATCATCATCATAATCACACATTTCAAAGAGTATCACATCATCCCACAGCACTTATGATTAACACGTTTGGCTATGTACGGTGCGAAAGAAGTTCAACATGAAACAGCATCACCATCAGCAGCAGCGTCATTATCATCAGTCACCACTTCATCGTCATCAACATCATCGTCAGTAGGAGTAACAAGCAGCATCGACATCATTATTATTCGTAGCAGCATCATAATCTTCATTAACATCATCATTGTCTTTGTTGGCATCATCAGCAGCGGCAGTTTCATAATCAGTCGAAGCAGCGGTGAAGGTATCACCACCATCATCAATAGCAACTTCTTGACGATCACAAACATCCTCATTATTATTATCATCATCATCATCGTTATCCTTATCATTACCAGCAGAATTGATAGCAGTAGATATATAAGTAATAATTTTAATTTGTTTTACAAGGCCCACTCAGCTCTTTTTCAGAAGCGACCTTGGGTCGGGTGTGTCAAAAAAATAACAAGGGGTGCCCGGGTGGCGAGATGTTAACTGCCTTGCCTGGTATACAGAGGGTCGTGGATGCCATCCCCAGCCTGAAACCTGTACATTTGGAGTTTGCGCGTGTTCTCTCTCCACGTGGTCGCGTGGATTTTTCTCCGGGTCCTCCGGTTTTCCCCCTCCACGTTTAAAGTGACCATCACGCATTGATAACATTTGGCTGCTATAAAATCCCACGCGATAAGCCCACTTCGTTGAGCTATCATTTGTGAAGGCCAGGTCGCTTCTGAAAAAAACGCTTTATAGCTCAGTGGGCCTTACCTAGTAAAATAAAAAAAATTGTTTAGTTTTATAATAATTAACATTTTCGTATCAACGGCTCGGCGATCAGTGTGCGCGTGCGTGTGTGTGTGCGTGCGTCCCCACACAAACCAGCAGCAGGGTGGCGGGCATGTAGTAGATTTGGGTGGGGTGTTTCTTCTTGAAGAGCCGCTGATTGAACTCGGTGACGTAGTGCTGCGCCGTCGCCTGCCGCACCACGTTGTCCACGTAGTAGCGCGCCTCCCGCTCGCGCTTGTAGCACTTCCCCACGTAGCTGTCGCACGGTGGCGCGGGGAGGGGGGGGGGGGTGGAGGACAGGGGGGGGGGCAGGGTAGCGGGAGTGGGGGGGGGGCAGCGTCATACCCCATCGTCACAACGCCACGACGCGCCATCTCGGTCTAAAATATTAATGTTAACTATTTTTTTTATTTTACGAGGTAAGGCCCACTGAGCTATATAGCTCTTTTTCAGGAAGCGACCTGGCCACAAATGATAGCCCAACAAAGTGGCTTATCACGTGGGAAATTTATAGCAGCCAAATGCTCTAAACGGGTGATGTTGATTCTAAACGTGGAAGGAAAAACCGGAGGACCCGGAGAAAAATCCACACGACCACGGGGAGAGAGACACGCCAACTCAAAATATACAGCAGTAGGCGTTAGTCGGGATTGAACCCACGACCTGCTGTACACCAGGCGAGGTAGTTAACATCTCGCCACCGTGGCGCCCCGGTCAACATCAACGCGTCTACCCCGCTCAGGTGACAGCGGTAACACAATGTGACGAGGTAAAGGGGCAGCACTGCAATTGCTTGCTCACGCCACTGCTGGCAGAAAGGGGCCTCCACCAGAGGGGGCTCTAGAGAGGCACCTCTGCAGGGTACTTTGGCCTCCTCTTCCGCGGTGGTCACACGTTCTTGGAAGAGGTGGGAGTACCCACATTTTATCCCACGGAGCGCGAGAGATTTAACAAAAACCCGCACCACTCATTCGTGAATCAAATGAAACCAGTGACCTCTGGTGGAGGCCTTTCCACCCGCAGTGGCGTGTTTAAAGGAAAGGACACGGGCGAGGAAGTTGAGACACTCACCGGGCCAAGGCCTGCTCCTGGTGAAGGTACTGTACCCAGAATGCATCGCGCTGCTGCCCTCGGACGTTGGCAGTCAGCTGCAGCCGGGCCCCGATGTGCAGCAGGGTGTGGTGGCCCGCCCAGCGGTCCGCCGACCGGTTGTACGTCAGCACCATCGCCACTGCACCCGACGCAGCGGCAGGAGAGGCAGCGGCAGCCGCGACAAAAAAGAGCAAACAGTGAACGTGCAGGTTGCGTGTGTATACACACATATATATATACCGTGTGTACGAGCGACGCACTTCTACAAACGCACTTTATATCAGCGTTGGCCTCGCAACTTTCCAGAAAAAGACCCCTTGAAAAACTGGAATATTTGAAGACACGCATTCCCCGTTTAGCGCTATCCAGTACAGCGCTGATTCGTTCTAGAGCTGTTTGCTTTCGGGCACATTTTTATTAAAAATAAAATAGATACAGATTATATGTGACAAAAAATAAACAGTACATACGTAACGTAGAGTTAATAAAAATGGATTCAAAGCCGTACTTGAGCAGTGTTCGCTCTCATCCAAATACTTACAGTATTAGCGCCCTTATACGCTGTCCGCCCTCAGCCAATGAGCAAGCAGCGTTCGCTCTTCGCCATTGAGCACTTTCCTCTAACACCGGGGGGTGCCTAGTCACAGATTGGACTGCACCACCAGGCACAAGCTGTAACCCCCATCAGGCGCAAGCTGTAACCCCCATCAGGCCCAAGCTGTAACCCCCATCTTGTCTCCCATTGCTGCCAAGTTCGCCATATTGGGGCCGAACCATTCACTGATGAGAACACTGTTTTTAATTATTTCAAAATTTCGTACCATTAACAGTATTTATAAATCATGTTTATCATCTGTACTATTGTTCCAATAACCCAATGAATCCCTAATGTGTTGGTCGTAGGTGATAAATTACGATGTCGGGAACACATTTCCATAGGGCCTATGCTATAATGACCCCGTATAGCACCGATTCACCTAGCGCTTTCGTTTCCAGGCACGCATCCCCCACACTAAACGGGGTATGCCTTTATTTGGATTCAGCACCCTTCGAAGCCTCCAGATGTGTCAACAAAAAAACTAAACATTTTGGAGTCCCAATATATATTTTATAAAGTCTGATTTAATGTTTGGATCTACACATATAAACTTTACAAGACAAACTTTCATCTTACTGCGCTCCAAAACTTTGGAGAAGCCAATTGATTAAAAAAAAATCGGTCCCATCCACTAAACTACATTTGTCCCGATAAAAACATGATTTTAAAAAAAACGTCAAAATAAAAAGCAATCTAAATCTCACGATGAACCGTGTTCTCCTCGACCAGAGGCATCGGGCCTTTCCCTTCCAGCATCTTCTTCAGCTCGGCCGTGGTCATGTCCATGGGCGACAGCTCGCCCTCCGCCCTGACCGCCTCCTCGGGCAGCATCGACCGGCCTTGACCGTCGTCGACGAAGGAGTAGTCGACCGTCTCGAACGAGCTCCCGGAACTCCCGGAGCTCCCGGAGCGCCCCGGCTTGTCGTGGAACGTCCTCGACGCTCTGAACGCGGCTCTCCTCGCGGTGGAGTCGACCGCGTTGGCTGCGCTCGGAGCGTCCCCCGGGGGAAACCCTTCGAAGGAGCCGCTCGATGGCTCGGCAGAGCCGCCGCCGCCGCGGCCACCGGGCCCCTCCGTCGGCGGGTCGGTAGTCGCGTCGCTCGTCGCCACCTCGAACGACGAGCCACTGTCGGGAGACGCGGCCGGCGACGCGCGGCGCCGGGCTTCCGCTCCCCTCGGCGCGACCGCTTCGTCTTCTGCCGTCGGGAGGTCCACGTCGACGTCCGTGGCAGCGCCCGGGGGCGGCTCGTCGTCCGGCGCGGACGCCCCGCCGGCGAGGGCCGCCGGGCGGCCGCGAGTCAACGGCGGCGGCGGCGGGAGGTTCGAACCGTCGCCTTCGTTCGTCTCTGCGTCCAAATCCAGCAGGTCGAACGAGCCGCTCCTCTCCGACGAGGCGGGAGACGGCGGAGAGGGCGGGAGACGGCGATTGCCGTCCGCGGTGCTCGGCACATCCTCCGTCGGCGGGTCGACGTCCCTCGCGCTCGACCCCCGGCCCCCCAGCTCACCGGGCGCGGAGCCTCGCTGGGGTCGCGGCGCGGCGACCGGATCTCCGTCGTCCGCCGTGGGGGCTTCGGCGTCGACGGTGGCGGCCGCGGCGGCGGACTTCGGTGGAGCCCGTCGCCCCGCTCCGTCGCGAGCCAACACGTCGACAACGAAGACGTCTTCCGTGGCCAGGTCGGGGTCCACGGTGCCGTCCGGGTCCGGCGCGGCCATCTCGCGGCGGTCACGCCCCGCGGCTTCGACCGACGCATGTCCCGGCTCCTCCGAGCCAGCCGTGGCAAGCGCAGCGTCGACGACCTCAGCGGAGGACGCCCAGCCTTCCGGAGACACGCGAAGGCCCCCCACCATCTCCGTCGCTTCCTTCACCGCCGCCGCCGACGGCTTCCCGGCACCGGCATCGCCGCCGGCGTCTCCGCCGCCCTTCTCGACAAACACAAACGAGCCGCTGCTGTCGCTGGCAGCGAGTGAGGGTGCCGCCGGCCGGTGCTCGGGAAGCGACTCGAGGCTCCACTGCTTCCCGGACTTTTGCACCACCCCCCAGGATCCGGTGGAGCTCTGGCTCCGCGACTTGCTGGCGCCGGAGACGCCCTCACCGCGCGACGACCGTCCGCTGCTCCCGCCGTCGCTGCCGGACCGGGCGTCGCGCGCCGCGTATCCCACGAGCGACGCGATGGGCTTTTTCGCGCACCCCCGCGCGTCCTGGTCGCCCGTCGCGCACGCCTCCGTCGTCGCCGTCGTGATGCACAGAGCCGCCGCCGCGCCGCCGTCTCGCGAGTCGCTCGGCCTGCGGAAATCCTCGCCCTGCTCCAGCGTCCGGAACAGGGAGGAGGCCTTCGCTCGCAAGGCCGCGGCGAACTCCTCCGTCCTCCCGAGGGCCTCGTAGGCCTCCGCGTCCTTGTAGCGATCGGGCACGAAGGAATCGGGATCCTCCGTGCGGTTCTCGCTCCCGGCGTCCGCCTCTTCCAGCAGCTCCAGAACCGCCCGGTCGATCTCTTCCTCCGCCGCTGCCGCGCTGGCGGCGGCCGGGCCCCGTCTCCCCGGGCGCGCGGCAGCCTCGGCCGTGCCCAGCAAGCGCAGGAGCCGCGCGCACGCGTGGGCGCTTAACCCCGCGCTGACCCGGCCCCCCGCGGGGAGGCCGGGCGGGCGGGCGAGGCGGCGCGCCACGGAGAGGTTAAACGCGGCGTAAATAAAGGCGTGCAGCGGCGTTCGGCCCGTGACCGCCCCCCTGCCCCGGCGCGTCAGGAGGCACACTTCAAAGGCGGCGGCGGCGGCGGAGGCGCGGGCTCGCCGAGCGTCGTCGGGCACGCGCGGGAGCTGGCTGTAGGAGAGCAGGCAGGTGCCGCAGCGGTTCTGCAGGTTCACAGGCAGACGGACGGGCAGCCGCAGAGATTAGCGAACGCGGAAGAGCCACGACTCTGTGTAGGATGCTGGGGCGCGGTACTGGGCTGGTTCATTCATTCGTCACTGGTGTTGGTGAACTTCGGGTCGCCGCGTTCATAGCACAGCGCCGCTAACCGATGCGCTACCGCTCCCCACGGTTGGCTATGTACGGTGCAAAAGAAGTCCAACGTACATACATACGTACGCGCACATTTGTTGAAAGCAGCAATTTACAACAAGTCGGGAATTCTGATTTTAGCTGGGCAGCAGTGCTGTGTCACTGCAGGCAGTGAAGCCAGTAGAAGAGAAGGAGCTTAAGTTTATTTTGTTTAAAATCAAAACTGAAGGCGAAGTGATCATCAAAAATCAGTAAACATAAGCAGTGAGCATCCTCCTCTTTCAGATGCAGTATTGCCGTTTGCTTTTCTCTTGACCATTACCAATCAGGTATAAGGATTGACTTGCATTGTAACAAAGGTAGTTAAGGTTTTGTACTTTGGTAAAAGCTTTGCTTTTTTGTCTCGTTAAGACCAACTAGCAACCAGTGGAGGGCTGCATAGATTATGAAAACAAGGGACTCGTTTACACACAACACACACGTAACACACACAATACAACACATACAACACACACACAACAAGCACGCAACACACACAACACACAACACGCACACAACACGCAGAGCATACACACACAATAAAACACATACCCCAAATTAGACACACACCGGGTTTCCGCTAAGAAATCAAACATAGTGTTTCTGTAAGGGCCAGTCCTGGTACTGAGTGCTGTGATCAATGCATTGATTTGATAGTGTGCTCATGACTACGTAGAACCGTCTGCAATTGGATAGAACCCATCACGTGCATATTTTCTGCATCCTAATCACACTTCATTTACGTAATTGGTTTAGTTTTGTATTCTCTTTGATTTACAAACAAAATTGGAGTCAAATAAAACATCGCTCATTCAAACAAAAAATAATCAAATTGGCAAAACCGGGTAACTTTTGTACTCCTGTAGCGGGTACCGAAAGCGAAGCGTGAGGAAAGCCAGCAGAAGGCACGAGGAGGTTCCAGGGCCACAACAATGCAGGTCGGACCACCTTTTGTCTTCCCAATGTTGATGTTGACCACACTGCACCAGGTACTAATTCTAGGCTGAGTTGACCTTCGTGGGATTCCTGAGAAGGTTCAGATTCCAACTGCCCACTCGTGTTGTGCGTCATGGCCAAGGAGCTGAACGCTAGTAACTGGGACAGAGGCACTGTGTGTTCACACGAGAGTCATCGCACCACCTCTCGCCGTGCTGCTATACCAAAGTACACACCGAGCCAAAGTTCCCCCGTATAGTCTACACAGGCTGTTGGGGCAAGTGCCGAAAAGCACTTGCCAGGCCGAGGGCCGGCACGGCGCAAGAGGATGTGGCGTGGCCGGCACCCCAACCTGGCCGCCATCGCCTCCCCGGCGGTGATGTCCAAGTGCTGATTTAAGGCTGAGCGGTCCTCGGGGGAAGCCTACGACCAGTTCAGATATTCGCCACTGACGTCAGCAGCCGTGAGCGGGAATCAAACTCGGGTCGCGTTTGTTTTTGAAGCACAGCGCGCTGACCGCGACGCTGCCGCTCCCCACACGACACGCACGCAAAGATCTCCCAACAGCCTTAAGTGCTGTTAGCGAGCACCTATGAAGGCTGGCACGGCACACGAGGGGGTGGGTGGCCAGCACCACGCCCGACCGCCCTTGTCTCCCCAGTGGCGATGTTTGCACGCCGCACTATTTACTAATTTGAGGCTGAGTCGACCTAGGGGAGGCCCTGGACCGGTTCGAGATAATCGTCACCGGTGTCGGTGGCCCGTGAGCGGGAATCGAACTCGGGCCGCCGGGCTCGTAGAGCAGCGTGGCGCTAACCGCTGCGCCGCCGCTCCCCAAAGACGACGCACAGACACACAGACACCACACGCACTGGGAGTCTTCGCATAACCCGTGGGCACGGTAAATCAACAGCATTCACGCGTTCCAGCCTAGCAGGGAGCGGGGCGATCGCACAACGGCACAGCGCATGCCCAATCAGTTCCTTCATCAGCTTATCATGAAAAATCTATTCAGCGCAAAGTTGCATTTTACGTGCAAAATTTATGTACCTGTGTCGTGCATATAATGAGTTGTCCCGCGGCGAGCTCGGCTTTATTGTTTTGTCTTTTTTTGTTGCTTGGGTTCCCCCTCTCTCTGTCTCTCTCTCTCTCTCTCGTTCTTCTCTTTGCTGGCTGCCTCTTCCCCACACCCACCCACCCACCCCCGTACAACAAAAAATGGGGATAGCTCCCCTGCAGATGTCCTTGTCCCCGAGCCCTTTATTTTGCTGCCTGTTCCCTCTACCAACTTTTTTGCTTGGATAGAGCGCTCGGGCCACTTGAATGGAGGTTTTATTGCACGTGCATTGGACACGGAGTTTCAACATGTAATAAAACCTCAATTCATTTTTCATGCCAAGTTCCGCGCACAATGTGGAGCATACTGCCCGCGTCAACCGCCGCCTCCCTTTTGAAGCGACGCGACAAAAAGATAAAAAATTTACGGAGCTTCGGCTTTCGATGGGGGGGGGGGGGGTGCGGGGGAGGGGGCGACGGGGGGCGGCCGTGGGGCAGGGAGGGGGGCGGCTTGGGGGCTCGGGGCTTTGAGTTCAGCTCGGCTTGGGCCGCGCATCGGACGACGACAGGGGTTGCGGGGGCAGCGCGGGGCAGCGTCCGTCCATCCGTCCGTCCGCTCGCGCGACGGTTCGCGAGAGGACGTGGGGTGGCGAGCAATACGCCCGGCCGCCTTTGTCTCCCTGGTGGCAGTTACTTGCACACCACAACCGGGGGCTCGTTCGAGGCCGAGTGGACCTGCGTGGGTGATGAAGGCTTTGCCGTTGCAGCACCGACCTTTATGGAACAACCTTGTTTCCTCCTTTAACAACTTTGTTGACAACGTTGTTGACAACGTTGGTGTCCTTCCCCCGCACCTCCAACTAGCACGGTTGGTTACGTATGGTGCAAAAAAAGTTCCACGCACATACGTACGTAAATATTCCTTCACAAAATATCTGCCGGAGACAAATGCATTTACCAATGTGATTTGAAACTTTCATCGTTACCTATGTATCAATAGTTACATTTTAATGTGCAATTTTATTTAGGGACTGTGTGTGGTCTTGGTGTGGTCTGGGACTGTTCTCGCTCTTGTTTTGCTGCCTTGCTCAAGCTTGGGAGTTGGTGTACTTATGCAATTTGAACTTATATGTTTATGTATTTTACGTATTTATTTTTAGCAATTTACTTTCCTATACTTTCCACTCCGATCGTCTTTTGTGTTGTTTGTCGTAACCATTCTGACCCCGTGCCCTCTACTAGACACCTGGCGCTCATCGGATTTCTCCAGGATAAATAAAGATTCCGATTCGAATATATATTCACACACGCACACACGGGAAAACACAGCAATCGAACGCACGTGCTACTCGTACGGCATAGCAGAAGGAGCGATGCTGTCCTTGAGGACCGCAACGTTGAACAGCGAAATTATCGAGCCCGAACTTCTTTGACACCGTGCGTAGCCAACTGCGCTCGACAGAGGTGCCAGCCTGTCATTAACCCTCCCAATGCTGCCCTTGATGACGTGGCCCCGAGGATTTAGAACGGACTTCCCCACGGCCAGTAGGCAGCACCGTAATCCGCTTTAAGGGTTAAACTACCAGTCACATGACACTCGCGCGGCAAAGCTTCTGTTAATATGGTTTAATATAAAAAAATATATATCTGTACTGTTCGTGGGGAAAAAAAACGAGAGTATGATTTAAAAAAAAACAATTTGTTATATGTGTGGGAAATCGGTGAAGGTCCATCCGTTATATTTACCTTAATTTTGATCGAGAGAAAGCCATGGGGAAATGTTGTCGTGAAGAGAGAGGCTTAAGTCTAATGCTCTTAAGTTGTAGCCTGTAAGTGTACTCAAGTGCTTCTGTGTTGTGTGCGTTCCGTATGGTCGGTCGACTCAGGCTTGTACCTCGCGTAAACATCAGAACTGGGGAAACAAAGGTGTCCGGGTGTGGTTGTTGGCCACCCACTCCCGCGTGCTTGCTAAATGCACGTGCCCCAACAGTCTGTTGAGGCTATAGGGGGGATCTTTGTATATATATTTGTGGGGAGTGGTAGTGGAGTGGTTAGCGCACTGCGCTCCAAACTCAGCAACATGAGTTTGATTCCCGCTCAAAGCCCGCACCAGAGACAATTATCTGAACCGGTCCTGTGGGCGTCCCCTAGGTCGACTCAGCCTGTGGTGTGTAAACATTGCCACAAGGGAGACAAAGGTGGCTGGGCGTTGTGCTGACCACCTATCCCCTTCCGTGCCGTGCCGGCCTTAATGGGTGGTCATTCACAGCACTTGCCCCAAGAGTCTGTTAAGGCTAAACGGGGGATCTTTGCATTTGTGCATATATATAACTGTTTGCACGCATGCGATTGTAAATATGCGATATTATGTGGCCTCAGAATGTACCGAACATTCGTTTGTAGAATTGGTCAAACGTGCCTGTGCATGCGCTGTACTGATTGATGTATTTAGCGAATGCTTTTACACCGTCTTGATGAAGAGTGTGTATGAAGAGTCCAGGGTTTTTTTCCGGTATATAACAACCGTTCATTCACATCAAAGTGTTATTTATCTTAGCGCCGTCTCAAAAAAAAGGTACCCAAAAAAAACCCACCGAACAAAACCAACGAAAACGAAAGCAAAATCAGAAACGATCCATTCCGTGACGCAAAGCGGCACGAATGGGAATCGGGTTATGCCCTCCTCCCCCCCTCTCTCCACCTCCCTCCCTCCCTCCTTCTCTCGCGAGCTCACGCAACGTCCCCTCTCGAATCGATTTCCCCTCCCCGCTCGCTCCCGTCCCTGACGTGACCAACGGCTCGGAGCGCGATGATGAACCGGCGGGGGTCACGAACCTGACTCGCATTGTCCGCCCCGCCCCGTCCGCTAACGCGCGCACCGCTCATAATGAGCCCCTCTTGCCGCAAGTTGACAACGCTGAGCGATGGCGGCCGAGACATTCGCCTTTTCTTTCTTCTGCCGCCCGTCCGTCGCTTATTGTCGCTCATTGTCGCTCCGGAACGAGAGGCCAACATCCGGCGCTCACTTCCCTCCCCCCCACCCTCCCCAACTCGATCCGGCCGGGGGGAACGATCGGTCCGGCCAGATTGAGCACAAGGGGTGGAAAAAAAGAAAAACGAACCCCATAGAAACGAGGATCGGACACGGTGCGCGGCAACGTTCGACATCGATCCTTTTGAGATGCGCCTCGACGCAATCTATTTGCTGTCCGCTGTCAGGCTGTCACGTGTTTGTTTAGCGACGGCGTGGATGTGTTTCGGCTCTCGTTTACGTTCGGCCCGGGAAGCCATCGCGGCGTGATGGTCGGGGTCGAGCCCCAAACTTGCACAGATCACCGCGTTCGGTTTGATCTCCCGGTGCGGCTAGTCGAAATGACGGTGTGAGTTTCTCAAATCTCGACCCGTCACCCCCACCATCATCCACTCTGTCCACCAAGCAGTAGAAATGGGTAATCGTAGTAAGCAAAACGATACAACAAAACCATTTTTTTATTTTATCAGGTAAGGCCCACTGAGCTATATAGCGCTATTTCAGAAGCGACCTGGCCATCACAAATTACATCTCAACCACATGGCTTATCGCGTGGGAATTCATAACCAGCCAAATACTCCACACACACACACGTTGATTCTACATGTGGAGGGGAAACCTGGAGGACCCGGAGATAAATCCAATTCGACCACGGGGAGAACATGTCGTGTGTTCGATCCACGGGTCTGGATCGAACACACGACCTCCTGTATAACAGGCGATGGAGTCGACATCTCACCCCACCGTGGCTGACTGGGCAGGTCACGTATGTTGGATTAAAGTGAGGGTACGTACACCTATTCCAAGACGTCTGGCCAGAGTGGAAGAGCAGGCCAAGCTACCCTCTGAAGCCCCCTGAGGCGGAAGCCCTTCCACCAGCAGTGAAGTGAACAAGTTAATAATTAAAATAATGACTCATTGAAAGACTGCACTGCGAGCTGAGAGTCTGATTAAATGAGTGAATTAAGAACAGATAAAGTGAATGCAAAGGCTGCCTGGCTCGATTACGGATTTAAATGAACAGGCGAACGACTGGACGCATGACTGAATGAACGAACGAGTGAAGGAGAGACAACGCTTACCATGTTGAGCAGCACCAGCCCGGCCACGTATTCCACAAACACGGCCGACAGCTTTGCCGCTTCGGCCGCCGCCAGTAACCGATGCGGTTGCTTCCACACGGAAGCCTGAAAACACACGCACGCACAAACACAAACACACGCACACACAAACAAAAACACACGCACACACAAACAAAAACACACGCACACACAAACACACACAAACAAAAACACACGCACGCACAAACACAAACACACGCACACACAAACAAAAACACACGCACACACAAACAAAAACACACGCACACACAAACACACACAAACAAAAACACACGCACACACAAACAAAAACACACGCACACACAAACAAAAACACACGCACACACAAACAAAAACACACACAAACAAAAACACACACAAACAAAAACACACGCACACACAAACAAAAACACACGCACACACAAACAAAAACACACGCACACACAAACAAAAACACACGCACACACAAACACACACAAACAAAAACACACGCACACACAAACAAAAACACACGCACACACAAACAAAAACACACGCACACACAAACAAAAACACACACAAACAAAAACACACACAAACAAAAACACACGCACACACAAAAACACACACAAACAAAAACACACGCACACACAAACACACACACAAACAAAAACACACGCACACACAAACAAAAACACACGCACACACAAACACACACACAAACAAAAACACACGCACACACAAACAAAAACACGTACACACAAACAAAAAACACGCACACACAAACAAAAACACACGCACACACAAACAAAAACACACACAAACAAAAACACACGCACACACAAACAAAAACACACGCACACACAAACAAAAACACGCACACACAAACAAAAACACACGCACACACAAACAAAAACACACGCACACACAAACAAAAACACGCACACACGAACAAAAACACACGCACACACAAACAAAAACACACGCACACACAAACAAAAACACGCACACACAAACAAAAACACACGCACACACAAACAAAAACACACGCACACACAAACAAAAACACGCACACACGAACAAAAACACACGCACACACAAACAAAAACACACGCACACACACACAAAAACACACGCACACACAAACAAAAACACAGGCACAAACACAAATGACAACAAAGATCATGGATTTTCTGTTTGCACAGTCACATAGTCACTTTAAGATGTTTTTCTTATTCTTGGTTCTTTCGGTAAAGTCACGTAGAAGGGAAACAGTAAAATACATTCTCACGAAACGTCATGAGAATTTTATTGTTGAGAATGTTATTGTTTTATATTTTTATAATTTTATTGTTTCCCATCTACGTGACTTTACCGAAAGAACCAAGAATATGAATCCCTATACCAAAATAAATAAACCTGAACCCGTGTGGCCTTTCCGACAGTTGGGGCAAGTGCTGTTAGCGAATAGCACCAATGCACACGAGGCGGTGGATGGCCAACACCACGCCCGGCCGCCTTTGTCTCCCCCAGTGGTGATGTTTACACAATGCACCAAGATACTCATTTGAGGCTGAGTCGACCTAGGAGAGACCCAGGACCGGTTCAAATATTCCCCACTGTTGCTGGTTGTGAGCGGCAACTGAACTCGTGTCACTGGGTTTGTAGTGCAGTGTGCGAAACGCTGTGCCACGGCTCCCCATATCACGTGCGCATGCACGCATACACAAAAGACAAAGATCACCCGTACAGCCTCAACTGACTGTTGTGACAAGTGCTGTTAGCGAGCACCTATTAAGGCTGGCACGGCACACGAGGGGAATTTTTGTGCGGTGAGCACCATGCCTGGCCGCCTTTGTCTCCTCCAGTGCTGGCATTCCCACAGCATCACGCCGTGCACTAATTCAACGTTGCATCAACCTACACGAGGCCTCGTACAAGTGTGGAGGGCCTCACTTGCCACTGATGCTGCTGCGCATGGCTGGAAAATTGAGCCATCGTCCATCAATGGACCTGTTGAGAGGCTCTCAGTCAAGGCATTTACTCACTTGCCGACAAGGCTGACTGAACGGCTGTCTCAGCCCAAGCCTATTGGTTTGCTCTTGAACGTAAATTACTGGAGTTTGCTGCGCCCGCGCGTGTGTGTGTATGACACAGCTGAAATGAGTACCTGGTGTGGTGTGTAAACATCGCCACTACAGAGACAAAGGCGGCCCGGGTATGGTGCTGTCCACCCACTCCATCGTGTGCCGTGCCAGCCTACATAGTTGCTAGCTAACAACACTTTCCCCAAAAGTGTGTTAAGACTATACGAGGGATCTGTGTCTTTGTCGATGAAGTTAAAATTAGTGATCTTTGCCGATGTGATACACACTGGGGGAGTAGTAGTGTAGCAGTTAACACCCTACACTAAAAACCCAGCGACACGAGTTTGATTTCCACTCACGGCCAACACCAGTGACAATTATCTGAGCCGGTCGTGGGCATCCCCTAGGTCGACTCAGCCTCAAATGAGTACCTGGTGCGGTGTGTAAACAACGCCACCCGAGAGACAAAGGTGGTTGGGCGTGGTTCTGGCCAACCACCCCCTCGTGTGCGTGCCGGGCTTCATAGGTGCTCGCTAACAGCACTCGTCCCAACAGTCTGTTAAAGGCTACGCAGGACATCTTTGTATTTGTGATACTCACCGGAACATTTTTGGTGTTTGCCTTCAACTGCTCGTAGTCAGAGTCGCTCATGGAAACCAAAACTTCGGCCAACAGCCCCAGCGATGAGGATATCCCCTGGAGTACAAACGCACGGAAATATTTCGGATTAAACGTCACTCTACGGCTGATATCACTCACCTGTGCATCAAGCTGGTGCAGTGGCAGCTATGGACGTGGCCTGTAGTCCAGCACTACGGAGGCACCCAGGGTTGGGGGATCGCACAAATGTTGTTAAACTCCCTTCCCGTGGGCGTCGGGGTGCCATACTCTGGCTCGCCAGGAAGAGGCAACACAGCAAGTGGACTAATCGCCACCTGTTTCCATCTGTACTGGGATAGAGCGTTGCCCCCTTGCACACGCGTGTGTGATTTCTTTGAGTGGACTCGCGATGCAGAGGTCGCCGGTTCGATCTCCCGGTGTGGCAGTGGAAGCGTTTCTCACATCCCCCATTCTGCCCTCTGTCCACCCAGCGGTATCAGCGTGCACGCAACAGTTAGTCAATTGGTCAGGTGAAGGGTGGGTACCCCCCACATCCTCCAAGATGTCTAGCCAGTGTGGAAGAGTAGGCCAAAACACCCTCGAGAGGGGCCCTCTAGCGGAGGCCATTCCCGCCAGCAGTGGCGCAATCAGGGACTTGCAGGGCTGCACTTTGACCTTGACAATTTAATAATCTTTGGTTCTCTCTCAACACAAGCGTCCGTCATCAGGTGGGACAACCACAGCAAGAAACAATTGCTGAAGTGGGAAAAAAGGACTGCTGTGACAAGAGGCTATAAGGGTAAGAGAGGGGGGGGGCAGGAGCCAAGGAGGAGAGAGAGAGAGGGGGGTGTGGGGTAGAGCGAGCAAGGAGAGGGGATTTAATTTATTTTATTTTATACCTACGTGACTTTACCGAAAGAACCAAACAGTATCGATCCCTGCAGTCACGAAAACTTCAAATCTAAATGAATTTAATGCCACATGCGGCAAATTGTAAAGTCATTCATTTTTCAGAGTAATCGATGGACATACAAGTATTCCCTCATTATTCACGAGGGATGCATTCCGGAGGTGCTCGTGAATAGCAAATTGCACGGATAACGATTTTGGTCTACGAGATGAATTACTTTAAATAAATAAGTTAATAAGCTATTATCTCATCACTTTATCTCACCACTCAATTCTCTCATGACTTTCTTTCGCTCTCTCTCACGATGCAGTCGTGTTAGAGTTCCAGATGCGATTCGCGGGTGGCAAGTTCGTGAGCAACGGGGGAATACTTGTAGCGAAGCTTTAGTACGTGGATGTCGAGCAATGCCGACTCACCTTTTTGTCAGCGATGTCTAAGTTCTGAAATCCCACAATGGACAGGAGGAACAGATCTGCTGCCTCCAACCACATTCCTTGAAGAAAAACAACAACAACAACAAAAACAATTAATTGCGTGATCACAACTAGGGACACTGAGTACTCTGTTTCAGCGCTTTTCCAGCAATTGTTGAGTTAAAATATTTAATAATAATAAACAAAAACAACTCTTAGAGGTTAAACAGCCACGTGAGCAAAGCTCGATTTAGGAAAGGTTTTTCTACCATCCACCAAATGCACACTCTCAATCAGATACTTAACTAACTAAACGTTATTATTTTACCAGGTAAGGCCCACTAAGCTATATAGCTTTTTTTAAGCGACCTGGCTATCACAAATGATAGCTCAACGAAGTGGCTTAAGCGACCTGGCTATCACAAATGATAGCTCAACAAAGTGGCTTAAGCGACCTGGCTATCACAAATGATAGCTCAACGAAGTGGTTTAAGCGACCTGGCTATCACAAGTGATAGCTCAACGAAGTGGCTTAAGCGACGTGGCTATCACAAATGATAGCTCAACGAAGTGGCTTATCACGTAGGAATTTGTCACAGCCAACTACTCCAAACGCGTGTTGCCAAATGTGGAGGGAAAAACCGGGGGACCCGGAGGAAAATCCACGCGACTACTGGGAAAGAGAGAGACATGCAAACTCCAAATGTACAGCTGGTGTCAGGGTCGGGATCGGGATCGAACTCACAACCTCCTGAATACCAGGCGAGGTAGTTAACATCTTGCCACCGCTGCGCCATTATAGATTCCCTACCATGGCCATTCGCTGTGTCGAGCCGCAACCAAGCTGTGACACGCTGGCTTCACAACGCCTCTGAATCCAGCTAATCGGAGGTACAATGGCTGTCGCGTTCAGCGGTAGGTGAACGCGTCTCGGTTAACTCCACGCCCTCCGGCTTACCGAGCTTCTGGAAGATCTGTCCTCGGATCTGAATGCACACCGACTGCACCAGAATCCTGTCCTGGTCGCTGTGGTAAACCCAGGTCCCTGGCCACACAGACGCAGTGCTGGGTTAAAATGGGGTGAAACAAGCCTTGGTCAATCCCACCACATCAAGACGGAGAGACTCTGTATCTCGAGAACTTAGTTTCAGGGAAACCAGGTTAAAGGCAACAGCAATAGAGCACGAAGGCAGTTGTGTGGTCACATCACAGCGTATCAACAAATTAAACAACAATAGTTATATTCTTGCGTACGATGATAATATGCTCAGGAGCTAGATAGAAATGTCGGGGACTGCTCGCCAATAGAGGGCTTCAGGAGAGAGTTTTGCAACTCCTCCTCCGTTGAAGGACTGCGGTGGTTTCCTGTATGGGCCACAGTTTGGGTTGCATGGTCACGGTCGTACTGTGACTTGTATCTTTATGTGCATCGGCCTGTTGATGTTCTGATGTGGTTGACGATTCCACCGGTGCCTTCGAGCAGGAGGAATGTCAAAGCCAAGAGGGTGTGCGGTGTTTGGATGCCGAATGAGGAGTTTATTCCGGACGTCCACGATAACAATGAAAATAATCATCATTCGCAGCCCCTTGTCGATCCACTGCCGGCCAGGCGTCTCGGAAAAGGTGGGAATCAACTCACTTTACTCTAACACGTACCAGCTGCCGATCAACTAACTGTGGGGTACACATTCATACTGCCGAGTGGCCAGAGATGGTGGGAGGGAGGGGAAGGAGGGGGTTTGATTTCAGAAACTTGCCCCATCGATTCAACTGGCGACCTCTGGATCGCAATGACCGGTGCACGACGACTCAACACACCGTGGCAGCGTTCCAACATCGCTTGAGCATTTCAGCAAACAGAGTTTATCGAAAGGCGTAGCGAAACACACACACGCGCACGCGTATGCACGCACGCGCACACACGCACGCACGCACCTGTTTGCCCGTTGTTCTCAATAAGGTTGTTTAACATGTATTCGGCTTTTCGAAGCTGACCTGGAAGAAAAATAACAAACTCACGAACGTGACCCCCTGTCGCGTCGTCGTGTCCAATGTGCAGCATGAGCATACTGAGTTCACATGTTTCTTTTGTTCATTTGAAATTATAAACCCTAAATGTGAAACAAAAATATATATTGAACATTGCCATAGTGGGCATCATTATCATCATCGCCGTCGTCATCGTCCTCGTCATCCAATGCTGCTTCTCTTTCTGACAATGAACATGAGGCGAACATGAGGCCGCTGATGCTGCTGCTGCTGCAACAGCTGATGATGCTTTTGCTACTGCTGGCAATGGTGCTGATGACGATGATAACCATGACGATGACGTTGTTATTGAAAGTGACGAAGGCTATCCCGTCCGGCCTCTCTGCTTGCGTGCTATGCAGAAGGGCCATTGCCTGAAATGTCGCCGATTTTATACGCGTGTTTTTTGTTGTCTTCAGGCCACGATAGCAGCCGCATCGCGAAATAATGAGCTCAATGATGATCGTGCTGCTGACGACGATGATGATGATGAGACGTCGACAGTGATCACGATGAGAACCACGATGACGACAACGGTGGCAACGAAGACGACACCGGCCGTGCTGATGACAAAGGCATCGCTGGATGATTGTTAAACTGACGGCGGCGACGGCGGCGACGGTGACGGCGACGGCGCCGCGGGGGGGGGGGGGGGCGGAAGGGGGAGGGGGGGCCACACCGTCGTTGACGTAGACGCGCGCCTGGCGGATGACAATCTGCGGGGCGAGTGGCGTGTCGGGCGACCGTCGGTGCAGGGCTCGCACCACCCGCAGGAGGGGCCCCGATGCGTCCGCCCAGTACGCGGAGCGGTCGAGCGCCAGGCAGGCGCACGCCGCGCCCAGCGTATCGTCCTCGGCCACGGCGCGCCACAACGCTCCCTGCGAAGACCAACGTGCCCCGAGTAGCCTGAACCGCCTGTTGCACGTACGTGCCCGTTACGACGTTTTCGGCCGGTTAGTGATGAGCGTCTATTGTGCATGTGGGAGGAAAGCGGAGCACCCGGTGAAAAAAACCCGCGCAGAGCAGCGGCGGAGAAACATGTACGTGTGTAAGGTGAACTTCTTCTTCTTTCACTCGGTACGTAGCCAACCGCGCTCATCGGAGGCGCGGGGGAAGGACAACAAAACTTAAACAACCTCCGCCCCCAACAGCACGGCACACGTTGGGAGGCGGTGGGAGGTCGACACGCACGCACGCGCCCGGCCGCCTTTGTCTCCCCAGCGGCGATGTTTACGCATCGCACCAGGTACTCATGGCATGACTGCATTGAAAAAGCATAGCTTTATTTATTCACGTCCCGTAATGTCTCCACATATAGCATTTCCTCGCTTCACGCGGCACTTTTCAGGAACACATCTTCTGCGTTCAAACGAGGAATCACTACTTATGGGACCATTTTATCTATGGAACCATTTGTATGACTGTATACATATACACACACGCATGCAATTCTTAAGGACTGCTTTTTGTGTTAAGTTTGTTGTCCTTCCCCCGCACCTCCGATTGGCACGATCGGCTATGTAAGGTGCGAAACAAGTTCGACATATGAGAATAGGTTTTCATACTCTCTGGTTCTTTCGGTAAAGTCTTTGAAACTGATTGGTCCACACCAGAGACAGCTTTCTTTCGAGCCTCGTCTCAAACGGTGTTACACCAAAGACAATGCCAATATATTATCAGAGTATGTTTTTTGTTTGCATTCTGACCACAAGCATTGTGGTTAATGCAGACATGACTCCTTGTAAAAGGTTTCAGTTTGGTGTTTTAACATCTTAACACCTTATTCTTGGTTCTTTCGGTAAAGTCACTTAGAAGGGAAACAATACAATAATAAAAAATATATATAAAACAATAAAATTCTCACGACGTTTCGACTACAACACAAGCAATCATCATTAGGTGTGAAAACCACAACAAAAAAATTTGAAAAAAGTGGTGGTTATTTTTAACGTTAGCACCACGGAGAGCGATTTGACAGTTTGTTCAGATGGACGAGTCCATCTATGTTTGGAAAAGAGGAGGGGGGAGACGAAAAATAATGGATGCGGTCTGAAAACCACCTTAAGCGTGATCAATCAATCAAGACCCGAAATGGTTTATCAAATCCTTCCAATGATTGCTAAGCCAGAATCCATCTTCTCGGTTGAAATTGTCTCTGTGTTTGTATATGTGATAGCCTCATTAACGAATCTCTCATGGTAGCCAGATGGCTTGCAGTCGAAACGTCTTGAGAATTTTATTGTTTTATATTTTTATTATTTTATTGTTTCCCTTCTATGTGACGTTACCGAAAGAACCAAGAATATGAATCTTAACACCTGTTTTGTTGCCAGAAAAAAGGGGAAAACCTATTCTCATATTTTGGTCCTGGAAAAGGAGGTCCCATGAATTTCGACATACATACAAACATACAAAAACAACAACCGCCATTCACCACAAAGTGGCTGTGACGTCACCACGGCGCTTGTGCCATACGAGGTGCACTTTGAGGCCACGTGGAGTGTTGAAGGCCCGCTGTCAGGAGGGTCACATAACAGATCCAGGTGCCAAGAAAGACAAAGATCCCCCTATAGCCTTAACAGACTGTTGGAGCAGGTGCTGTTAGCGAGCACCTATGAAGACCGGCACAGCTCACGAAGAGGTGGGTGGTCAACACCACGCCCAGCCGCCTTTGTCTCCCCAGTGGCAATGTTTTACACACCACACCAGGTACTCATTTGAGGCTGAGTCTACCTAGGGGAGGCCCAGGACCGGTTTAGATAATCGTCACCGTTGTTGGCCGTGAGCGGGAATCGAACTCGGATGGCCGGGTTCGTAGTTCAGCGTAGCGCTAACCGCTACACCACCGCTCCCCACTGTGCCAAATGCACAAGCGCACACACGCAAAGTATTGACATCGCAAAGTGCCGGCACACGTGAGAGTGCACCGAGGCACAATCCTGACACACTTAGGCTCAATTTCCAGCCACGCGCGGCTCTGGACCTCCCTTAGGTCAACTCAGGCTAAAAATAAATAAATTACCATCTAACACTGTGGCGTGATCAGCATCGGCGCTGGGGAGACAAAGGAGGCCTGGCAGTGCGCGCGACGCTGACCGCAACATTCTCGAGCACCCCCCCCGCCGCCACCTCCCACCCCCCCCCCCCCCCGAGGCGTACGTCACGCCGACCTTAATAGGCGATCGCTAACAGCACTTGCCCCCCCCCCCACTGCATTCTGCGCGGCTAAGATGGGGGGGGGGTGGGTTGGTGGGGTGGAGGGGGGGAGGTGACCTATGGGGCATTGTCCTTTTTGTATTGGAATTGAACGTTAATAACGGCGTTATGAGCCGGAAGACAATGGGCGAGCCCCCCCAAACCCCCCCCCACCCCCCAGGGCCAGCGAATTTCACATTCAGGGACCGTGCGCTGAGAGGGTGGAGGGGAGAGAGGCGGAGGAGGAGGAGGAGGAGGCGGGAGGGGGGAATGTAAAAAAACGAGACAGATGTGAGGTCACACAATGGAGCAATTTGCCTCTCGTCCTCAAAAGGGGGAAGGCCCCCCTCATGGTGGGCAGCATCAAGTGCAGCTCTCGCTCAACGTTCGGAGCAAGCGCGGGGCCCCAAGCAGGAGACGTAGCGTCGGGAATCTTGAAATTTGCTATCTCACGCAAGGTGGGCGCAAGAGAACTCCAGGCTACCCGGTGGTGGGATCTGGGTCGTGGGCAAGCAGGGGAGAGTCCGAGTCAGAATTTGAGATGGACGGATTTTTTCTAACATATTTATAAGGCAGGCAGGCCTTGGCGCACAAAGATTGTAACGATACAAAAAAATATCTCAGTGCAGAAGTAGAGTAGGACCAAAATTCTCATCGTCAAAATCAAAATAAATACTACTGTATGTGCAAAAAGAAATACGTATATCAGAATCAGAATTTGTGTTCATCCTGCAGAAATGCGATGAGCTATGAAGGTCTTTTTCCACACATGTCCTGTAGGGGCACGTGGTCAGAAAGTTCCAACAAGAAACGGCACAAAAAACGATAGAAGTGCAAAGTATAGGAACGGTGAAAAAATCACTACAAATAAATGTAAGTATATAAGTTTAGATTGCATAAGTGCACAAATTCCCAAGCTTGGGCAACGCATCAAAACAACAGCAAGATCACTTCCTGACGACACCAAGACAAACACACGGTCTAAGAGTATTTGGCTGCGATATATTTCCACGCGATAAGCCACTTTATTGAGCTATCATTTGTGCGCCAGGTCGCTTCTGAAGATTAGCTACGTAGCTCAGTGGGGCAAACCTGGTAAAATAAAAATAGTTTCGTTTTTAGTAATAGATTTTACCTATTACTATATCTTGTTACTGGCAAAGGAGGTCTCATAATGTAAAAGTTTCGTTTTTAGTTTCATCGTTTTAAGTACAGCGACACATTCATTTTCATGATAATTATTCAACTCAATACGCCTCTCCGTTAAACTCAATAAGTCTCCGGGGTGTGATCGAAGCTACGAACTCCGAAGGAACCATGGCAAAGTAAAACTTTGCACTGCCCCAAATATGCACGTGATTGGGTGGGTGAGTGTACCTGGAATTCACCAACTCTTGAGACAAAGCACCCGAATGACTGAATCACTAATGTTTCTCTACACAAGCCATACGAAAGTAGGTGATTTTAATAAAGTGTCGTTGGCATGCTCAAATGAGCATTGGTTACTGCTCAACTCTGCCGGAGGTCCCAAACCAATGGTCTAAATTCCACATTCCTATGGCACGGTCTAGTACAGTATATCCATACAAAGTCAACAGTAGTAATCGATTGGACTAGTATTTCATGTAATGGCCACTGTTGACTTGGATAATAAATTAATGAGTTTTTGTGACGTAAAAAAAAAGTTTAAACACGTAGGCTTTCGCGACCACTATAATTCATAAGAGGCACATTTATATTTACCTCCATTATGGAGAAAAATAATACCAATAATTTAATGCACAATGATGAGCACCACGTATAAATTGCACGCTGCACAAACGCACCTACTGTCCCAGCGAGTGCGCTATTTCTCATTCGCTGCTCGACGAGCGGTGTACTCCTAATAACGCAGCGTCATTAATCTGCGCAATTAATCTAATCACCGGAACCGCGCAACAAGAGAGAGGCGCTGTGAAGTGCCGGGGGATATCTGGGGACGACGCCGCGAGACTTGGAGAGCGGCTTAAGCGTGTGCATCACAAAACACTCTCTAGACACCCCCCACCGCCACCTCTTTAAAAAAGGGCCTCTTTACTTTGCAGATTTGTTTATTTTTTTGTTTAGAAAGTTGGCCCTTATTTTGTGTTGTTGTTGTGGTTGTCGCGCGTGTGTGTGTGTGTGTTTTTATTTCAAAGCTGCCAAGAAAAGTTAGCGCCGCGTCGCCGCGGAGTGGGGTGGGGGACGGTGGACGAGGCCACGAGGAGCAACAAACAACAACAACAAACAACAACAACAAAACGACCCCCCCACCCTCCCAAACAAAATCGAGTGCCTGTATAAACTTCACAGTCGAGTGCAACCGAGCCAGGCCCTTAATTGCATTTTGACAATTTTTTAATGCAGCACCGGTTGAAAACGCGGACAAGAAAGCCGTGGTTTTAGAAAGGGGAGAGAGAATAAAAGGGAGCCGTGGCTCTTTTATTTGGGCTCTCTCGCTCTCCCGCACGCCCGCCCGCTCTCTCTGCCAGATTACGAATTTGTGCGAGACCCCGCTGCCCCCTACCCCCCACCGGCTGCTCTGCTCCAGATCTCCTGCGCTCTTTCTCTCGCCTCTCGCCACCTCGACGGGTCTGTTGAAACTCGCGTGCGTCCGGGGTAGAGCGTCTTCCCCATCTCCATGCCTCTCCCCTCTCTCTCTCTC